TTGAAAAACGTTGGCAACCTTAATTCAATTGAAAACCACCAGCTAGCGTTCTCGATCGGCGAAGCAGGGCGCGCCCTGGACGTGCTGCACGCGCGCGCGTTTTTGGAAGGGCGGACTGTAGGAATCAGTGAGGATATGGCCCAGTTCAAAACCAGCCTGGAAGCCTCCGCTCTGGCAAACAAAAGAACCGAAGAAAGCCTAGAGCGTGTGCAGCAGCAGCAGCAGGAGGACTTCACACGACGGCAGGAGGCCATTGCGAAACGGGACGCGGTGATCAAGGCACGAATTGATAGTCTCGAAGGGTATAATGCAAACACTGCACTGTGGAAGCGCCAGAGTCTTGCAAGAGTACCCAGCAGCCTTGCTGTGTCACAAACTCACTTTATAAAAAGCATGCCAGAGCACCGTGTCTTATACCAACTCAGAAGGCGGTCGGACAAGTACGGAAGATCACCCGTAGCGCCAAAATCCAATAAGCATGGCAGACAGGCCGTACTTGAACAGAGAAAACGTTTTATGCATGCAAGGACGCCGGGGCCAGAATGGCAAGCTGCTAGTCGGCTCAAGTCGTTCGACCCAGAGTGGCATCCCAACTTGGATCGGAGCGCATTCCCTTTCAGATACCATACTTTACGGTGGTTCTAGTTCTTTACATGCTACGTTCCGTTAGTTCACATGCTACGTTGCGTTACGAATACTTGTTGGGAAAAGTGGGCCTGAAAAAGTCAACCAGTTTACATGGCACGTTACTTGTTCGTTGGCGCGAACTGCGTAAACCATATCTATTCTATGGCTTTCCATGGCCAAAACTTCAGCAGATCCCCTTAGAGAGTCACAGTATATAACTGAAGGGGCAGCTGGGTCGTGCGGGCCTTGCGGCACGCCGGAAGGCTGTCCCGTGCGGCCGACTTGCTGTTTCGCCGGAGGCTTCCGCCCTGATACTACATTGGGTTGATTATTTGCTACCTTAGCGGTCGCGAGCGAGCGAACAACACGAGCGGCGTTGTCCTTGTTCATTTGTAAAATAAACGGCACTGGTGCGCACGGGATGCGTTCTGAGTTCAAAGCGCGCACGAATAATGAAATATGGGATCATCAAAAGCGCAAATCAAAAGCGATTGGGCTGGGCCGTTTGTTACAACTCGCGAAATTGGCGACACAGTTAACGGTAACGTAACGGTAACGGTAACGTTTGTAAATTTCAATCCCCCTCCCCCCTCGGTCACTTTATACTTTTCGTCCAATGTACCGGTACGTGTCCGAGCCGACTACTTTTCCCAAAAACTCATAACGTAACGTTGCATGTAAACTCAGTATTAGGCGTTTGGATTCGTGTCCAGAGCTTACAGTACAGTCGTCTGCTGCAGGCGACTGCATAATTAAGCAGGATGCGATTGTTACAGCTGACCCCGAATGGATCGCCCCTCCCGCACAGCACTATGGGCCTTATTCAAAAAGAACTCGGCCAGGCCGTACTAACTTCACTGGACACAAAACCTCAGTTAGTACGCTCCTACAAAAAGAATCAGGCTCAGACGTGAGCCGTCAGACCTCATCATTGTACATCGGCAAACGGCAAACAACCTTACCACCGACATATAATAAAGGGTGGTTGTGAGGCACGTGTTCCCAACGTTTTGGCAGGTTATCCCGTGCCGCAAAAGCAGTTGAACGGGCCCAAAAGCCAGTGATGACGTCGTAAGTAATGCGGTTAAGCGTTCCCTAAACAACAAACGGCGACCAAGATTGAGTCAGCTGATGGCCGCGATGCACACAACCTCCCACACACACACATAAATGGAGGCCGGTGGAATGCCCAGCCACAAGTTAGCCCGGTTAAAAAGGTCTGGAAACCCTAGCTCGTTTTGCACAGCCTCACGAAGAGCCAACGCAATAGTACAGTCCCAGAAATGATGCCGACAATCCCCACTAAAACCATGCGCACACCACACGGACACAAAGCAGCAGGGACGCCTCTCTGACGTTGCGCCCTATGCATAGGAAAGGCAGGCAAGCCATCAAGTGCTAGCCTCCCAAAGGACACAAGAAAGAAAACACAAAGTGGTCCTAGTCGCTCCAATTCCCTGAACGAAATCGGTACCAGGGGAAAGCAAAGGGGAACCGGAGTCAAGGCAAAACCTTCCCCGCACTGGATACCGGCCTAATGTGGCGCACGACACCTACTATTGCCGGTCTAAGGAACTGGGATCCAACCAAACTCATTGAGGCCCCAAGTAAACCCAAGTATGTTAATTGCAAGCTTCAAAAGATACAAACACACTGAACACAACTCATACAGGCTTGCACTGAACAGGAAAGTGAGGACACGAGCTCGCAGATCTCACGATGTACCCAAACCAAAAGCGTACGCAAAACGCAAACCCAAAACACAGAAACCCAAAATTCGAAACACACAATGTGACACACACAACACACATCCTACACGCAGCGCTAGCTAGACAGAAAGTGCACTATCCGCAGGGCCTGCTCCGGACACTTGGCTCTGAACCAGGCATAGCGGTCTGACAGCTTGAACGAGGCCCAGGCTGGTGTCTCCCGGAAAGCACGAAGCGCTGGTAGGCTGCGGATGTCGTCGTACGGTTCCCAGGACGCGTCACGACCACTAGCCGCTGACTACTGCACAAGGAACATGACGTACGGGCAAACACGCTTGCTGTACCCAAGGCGGTCTGCAGCAACGGTCGTGTCAGCGCTGTCGTACGCGGATTCCAGTGTCGTGGGGGCGGCGGGTGGTGGTGGTGGGCAATTAGGAATGAGCGCAGGGCCCTTGTCAGTCCAGGGAAGGAGGCGGGAGATGTGGAAGACGGGGTGTATGCGGCCGTGGGTGGGGGTAGTTGAAGATGATAGGCGACAGGGGAAATAACTGCACTGATGGTGAAGGGGCCGATATAGCGAGGGCGTAGTTTGGCGGAGGGATCGTCAGGTAAGGTGAGGTTAGTGGTGGAGAGGCGGACACGGTCGCCAACTTGGAAGGTAAGGTTTCGGCGTTGTTGGTTGGCGGCGGTGTTGTAGCGGACTTTAGCGACTTCCAGCTCGGTGGCGATGGTGGTATGGATATCACGAAGGTGGTTATGGGGATCCGCGGCGATGGGGTGGGCGGGTGTGGTTAGGGGAGTGTTAAGAGTGGCAGGGGTGTTGGGATGGAAACCGTAATTTGCGTAAAAGGAGTGGTACCGGTGCTGGCGTGGGGGGTGTTGTTGTAGGCAGCTACGGCGATGGGGAGGCAGGTGGCCCAGTTATCCTGCATGGGCTGAACGTATGCTCGGAGGATTTGCTCGATGGTGCGACGGGTACGTTCGGTTTGTCCATCGGTTTGAGGGTGGTAGGCGGCGGAGAGATTAAGGGAAGTGCCGAGGTGTTCCCAGAAGGTGCACCAGATGTCGGCGGTGAAGCAGGGTTCGCGGTCGTCCCTGACCGCGTCACGAAGACGGTAGACGTTGGCGAGGGAAAGGATGGCGATGTCGCGGGCGGTGGCTGATTTGTTGGTGGGGCCGAAGTGGGCTTACTTGGTGTACTTACATATCGACGAACGTGACAATGGCGGTGTAGGTGCGACCATCAAGGGCTTTGAAGGGCGGCAGGTCGGTGATGCGATCCATAGACACAGGGTCCACGGGCATGAAGGCAAAGGCAGGAAATAGCTTGGAGCGCTGGCAGTGGGGCAGGATTTTAAGTAGGTACGGACTTTGCGATTCACATGGGGCCACCAGGAGCGGGCGGAGATGGAAGCGAGGGTGTGATGATAACCAGGATGACCTGAGTAGGCAGCGCCATGGAACTCGTGTAGGAGGCGGCGGCGAAGGGCTGGGTCGGCGGGGACGGCAATGCGGTTGGCGAAGTAGAAGAGACCGTGAGAAGGGGACGTTTGAGGTATGGCTTGATGGCAGCAGGGTTGGAGTACATGGGGTCGGTGGTGTAACCAGAACGGATGACGGTGGTGAGACTGGGATCAGGAAGGACTGGGAGGCGAGGGCGAAGCAGGCGTGGCGGAGCGTGTTGTTGGCGGGGATGTCGACAGGCGGTTCGGTGGAGGGCCAAAGTGGGACGGGTGATGGAGGTGACTGCCTTGGAGGCGATGGCGGAATGGACGGTGGTGGGGAAGCGCTGGAGGGTGGATTCAGGAAGGGTTGTGGATGGACAGGGAAGTGGGAGAGAGTGTCGGCCATGTTTTGCGATCCAAGGCGGTAGGTGATGGAGATGTAGCCTTGAAACGGTATCGAGCATGAGCCGGTATGAGCCCAACGAGCTTGGCGCCGTGAGAGGTCCTTCTGTGTGAAGAAGCGCTGCAGGGTGTCGTTGCCGGTGCACAGCGTGAAGTGGCAGCTTTCAAGATAGCACTGAAACTTATGCACAGCGTGTACGACAGCAAGCAGCTCGGGCTTGTGGATTGGGCAGAATGATTGAGTGGAACATTGAGAGAGACCGACCGTTTGGCTTCCCATGGGCCCCCGATGACGAAGTTTCAATCGGGCTGCTGCTCGTCCAGTCGCAGCCTGTTTTTCGGGAGCGTTCAGTCACTGCGAGAGGTTTGGATGGACTAAAAGCGTTTGCGTGTATGTGCTTTGGCGCGTGCCGCCTCGTGACCTCATAGTTCCACCTTTCTTGCATGGGCCATCGGCGTGCGGGAGTGGATTGCCGCCGCGTCCGCGGTGTCTGTGCGTGGCTTGTAGTGGATGTGGTTCATACCACGATGGGCGGGTTTGTTGCAAGTTCGTCACACATATGCCACGGGGCCCGACGCTGACCAGGGCCCTTGCCCCTCACAGATAGAGTGGGAGTGTGCCACCGTATCAGTTATCCATTCTATTTACCATCCACGACGTCTGCAAGAGTTCTCTACGTACACCTGCTCTCGCCATGGCATCCCGAGAGGCTGGCGTGCTTGTTACACAGTAGGTGTGCTGTCCGAGCATGCGAACAAACGCATATGAGCCGGGGGAAGTCCAGGGGCTGACCAACGGGGACATCCTCGCTTGGGTGAGAGCGAGACCTAACACGCCACCGATCCACTCAGGTCATGGCAGGGCCGTTGGTAAATGTCACCATGGCCTTTGGCCTTCAGTTGTTGCACGCATGTCCCAGTGCAAGCGGTCTGCTAGAATCCAACTAAAATCCAACGAGAAGAATCACCAACTTTCGCCGGCGGTATCTAATTTAGGGACAACGACAACTGAAACCAGGAATGGGCGGTCCAAGCAAGGGAGACAACATGATTCATCTAACACGTAATCCAGCACGACCAGCAAAAACGTTGGGACGCTGATGCCGAGAGGGATGCGTCATGTGCCAGGCATGTACGATTAAGTTACCACCACACAGCCGGACGTTACTCACCGCAAGGATTTGCGGGTGAACCACCTCTGCGCTCTTACCATGCACATCTTCTCAGCTGCTGAGGTCCTACGGGATGCTGACCCGCCCGCCTCCACCCAGCGGCAGTCCGAGTGGGAGGAACATTCAATGCATGCGTGCGTACACGTCCCCTCTCACTCAACATTGCGTCGTCAGCCCGTAACACATCCAGCAGAAGTAGCAGCATCGACAGCGGCAGCAAATCGCTGCTGGTAAGACCGAATAGTCATCCTTATCATCGTCACGCCGGTACTCGCTCGGGTCGAACGCATCCGACAAATGGATTGTTGACTGCAGCCCTTGGATTCCTTTCGTTCTGGAGCGCCTACCTTCCCTCCGCATGCTTCCATCTGCTGCTGTCCTAGGGGCTGCTGGGCTAGTGCTGTCCTAGGGGCTGCTGGGCTGGTGGCCTGACCTGGTGGCATTGGAAAAACCTCACGGGCTGACAGCAGCAGCAGCAGTGGACGGAATCCTCACTGCCTCCTAGAGGATTGCAGGGGTATTCGGGTTTTTCCAGGGGCGCCAAGAGAGCGGCAGGACCAGGCAGGGACTCAGTGCGCTGAGGGGCCGATAAGGACACCGACAGAACGAAGCGCCTTTTCACAGCCAAACACCAAACGAGAATCGAATCGCTTGCGTACCACTGGGCGTTAACGGCTAACCACGATTGCATCGTGTGTTGCACCTAAGTATTGCTCCGATGTATCGCCTGGCGCTGGCGACTGTAACCCTACCCCGGCGGCCCCTGGAGTCAATCACCCTAGAGATCCCCCCCCTGCCGCCACCCCGGATGTGCCCGTGCTGCCACACACCCTGCCGCCCCCACTGCCTTTCCCTCCCTCGCTGCCCCCTCCCGCTCTCTCTCTCCTCACCGCCCCGCCTCACCGCCCAAGCCTCACCGCCCAAGCCGAACCCTGAGTTAAGGCTTATGGCAGACCCGAATCGAATCCACCAAGTCCGGCAATCGTCCAGCACAATGCACAACCTACCCGAGCCGCTACCTCCTGCACCCTCCGGCCTCACACCCCGGCCACATCGCTTTCCGTCCATCGGAAGGAGAACACATGCCTTTCCGGACACCCGTGCCCTCCCCCTCCACGTCCCCCCATCCACATCCCAGCACCAAACCCACCCACCCACTCACCTCAATCCGCGCCATGACGTCATCCGTCAGGCGGGGCAGCACTGCCAGTGCGCCCACGTTGTCATGTACCTGGCAGACATGGCTGGCGCCTGACAGGGACAGTCCAAGGGCGGGAGAGCGATAGGATAGACTTTGGTTTCAGGCTTTTAATTTTCCCAAGTTTTTACGGTTTTCGTTGTACGGCTACCACCATGCCCCGGCCTCCACGTCATGTCCGGTCCCATCTATCCCTCAGCCTTGGCTACCCCCACCCTTACCAGGCTTTCCCCACACACATAATCATAATCACGCGTATATACGTACACACGTACACCCGCCCCCCCAACAACACGTACCCATGATGGCGGTGCTGACGTGCGGGTTTCGGAGCGTCCAGGCCAGAGCCAGTTGCGCCATGCTGCAGCCCAGCTCCCTGGCGATGGGCTCCAGCCGGCTAGCTGCCTCGATGTGTGGCCGCCGGGTTTCCAGCTTACCCTTTACGGCGTGTGTTATATCACGACTTCAGGAAAGTGCCGATCGGCGGATGCAGATCCCGTGATAAGCCCTATAGGATACTACAGCGGGTGTGTGTAATTATGAATGTATGTATGTATGTATGTGTGGCTGGGGAGAGGGTTTGGGAAATATGATGCAAGACGCGATGTGCCACCTGTCGACCCTTCCAAGCAGGGGGGTGAAGGGGGGAGGGCCGCATGTGGGGGGACCGCTGCCGGGAGGCGGCGCCAGGCAGGAATCTCTTTCATAGTCATCCCGGTACGACACGACACGAACTGACACGACATGAAACGACGCAAGAGGAGGACGTCCTCCAGGATGCTCTTTCATCTCCAGGCGTGTATCGCGAGGTGAAGTGAGGTGAGGTGTTGAGGGTGACTATCGCCCCCCGCCACGTCATCATGTCATCACCATGCCGGCAGGTGGAGCACACGGCGCAGGTGGAGGCCGCCAGTTAACAGCGACACGGTCCCGGGTCACGCAGTAAGGGTCGGCAGTTAAGCCCCAGCTGCCTTTCCTCCCGCGCACTAACCCGCCCACCGTACCATTCTTCTTCCGCCGGCCCCGCCCCCGTACCTCACCACGAAACACTTCCTAAAGACAGAACCCCGTGCCCCACCGACCACCCCCGTGCCCCACCGACCAACCCCGGACCCCTGTGGGCGAGACGGGTCACCTTGTGCGCCTCCAAAGTCAGACGGCTGCCCTCGGGTGCCGTACCGCTGCCGTACTTGCCGGTCAAGATGCCCGATGCCAGGGGGCTCCAAATGGTGAGACCCAGTCCCGTACGACTGTCGTACAGGGGCAGGTATTCTGACTCAACCTGGGTTGCCAGGAGTACGGCGACGCACGTGGTCCAGGTGGTGGGGTTGGGGAAGGGGAAGAGGGGCGCAGCGACCGCACGAAGCGCGGCTTCTTAACGGAAGATAAGTACGATCCTGAAGGAAGGGGGGTCCTATGTACGGACTGTACGAAACTCATAAAATGGTGGAGCCGCAGATCTTAGCCCAGTATGCCGTATTTGGGGCTTTCGCTACCATGGACCTAACAACATCTTTCTCACACACACATGTACATATATATACATACATACATGTATGGGAATGGGGCCGTGTGCTAGGTGCTAGGTGCGGCCGCGGGGGTTGGTGCNACAGCTCCTCGATATCTTGCAAACGGCTGTTCCCCGGAGCCCCGG